AAGCGAGACAAGATGTGGGGAGTCGAAGAAGACAAGGGGCCAGACGCGAGTGCGCCAGGTACGTGGGAAAGGGCAGGCCGGGTCTATTTGGGGCGGGGTTCAGAAAAGAGGGATCCGCAGCCCTTCTGCGGGCGTTGGGGAAACGGGAAGCTCTGCCCGGCGAAAAAGGAACGAGAAGCCGTGCGCTGAAGAGGAGAGATGGGCAGGGCTCGCTTGGCCGGCGCGGTGAGAGCGGCGCTTCGCCCTCCCCCTGGTTACCTGTGGAAGGAGACGGCCGCCCGACCCCGGGGAGCTTTGCCCTGCCGGTTGGAGCAATTCAGCGCCGCGCAACAGATCACCATCTCCGGAGGCCGCGCGGGCAGGAGGGCCGCCGGCGGCCCCGGCTCCCCCTACTACTCTCCGCCCCCCCCACCCTTTTCATCCGTACAACAAAATGGCGAAGCCATATGAGTTTCGCCACACCCTGATGATATGCCACTTCCGTACGGAAAGAGCCGTCATTTGGAAGGGCGCGCCCCCCCACCAGCTATTACGTCACAGAAGCACGTGCCCCCCATAAGCAAAAGCCCTCTACCGCCCGCTTTCCAAACCCAATAACTCGCTGTCATGCGAAGAGGAGGCAGGTGATCTCTGTGAGGGCGTACGCTTTTATAATACAACTCTGACGAATTGAAGCCGCCATGTTGAGGAAAGTGGGTGATGCCTTAATGTTCCGTACAAGAATATGGCAGCCCCCATTTCTCTTCATATTTTTCTCCCTGTATGGCTTCTTCGGCTCAGAAGGTTCAGGAACTCACACGCAGGACAACAGAAGTTCTTACCCCTTCGGCAAGGATGCCAAGTTGCACTTAAATGAGCTTGTTTTAGAGTCTCAGTTCTTCCGTACAGCAAAATGGCACCTCTCAGGAGCAGTAGGAAGCGCTGTGGTGCAGAAGAGCTTGCTGACCTCTTAAACGGACCTATCGACTAGTCTGGAGGGCGGTGCAAACTCTTTTGATTGGGTAAGAGCCCGGTTGTCTGAGACAAGTTGGCTAGTATGAGCATCAGTGGTGGTCTCTGTGTGTACCGAGACAGCTGTGGGCGACCCTGACGCTGGATCGGGGGCAGGATGGATGCGGGTGAGAGGGGAGAGATCTCTGGAACGGGGTGGGTTAAACGGAGAAACTACGACGGGGTGCAGAGGTGGGGCTTCCTTTGTTTTGGGGGCTGAGGGCGGTGGGTGTGCGCCAAAAAAAGGAGGGTATGTTTTTTCTGGAAAGGGTTATGTTGTGGGCTACTCAGAGGTTTCTGTGTCTGGCCGAGAGGATGGTTCAGAGAGACACTCTCTCTTTTTCTGTGAGAGAGAGTGAGATGGAAGGGTCTGCTCCCTAGGTCTGAGGTATTAGCTCAAAATATACATTTTTTGTCTGTAAAGGTGGTGATTGGGTGAGTTTGTTAGAAGGAGCCGAGCGAAGGTGGTACTTTGCCTCTTCCTCCTCAGCTCTCTAAACACAACTGTTATGACATTGCATGATATTTATGCAATTACTGCACATGCTTTCGTTTTCTTGGCTTTCCTCACACAAGCAGACAATATGGTTTACAGACCACAGTGCTGGTGCTTCATCACCCCTTGGTTCCCTAATCTCATGAACTATGTAAGAGGTGTAAAGTGTATAAGAACTGAATCACCAATAGATACAGACAAAGAATAATGTCTTTGTTTAAGGCCTTGTGGTGCTCGCTCAGATGGCTTGCCTACATAGGAAGCTGGCTTTGGATGTTGTGATATAGCTGACGTGGAAAAAAAATCTCTAAAAATGGATAAGAAGAACATGAAGAATGGAATAACACATTCATTCTCAACTTGTTTCCTAATTTTCAGTAGCAGTAGAAAAGTATGTTGGTGTTTCAAAAAAAGTATGAAACTCTCCCCCCCCCCCATGAGATAACTGAGAAATATATACACATACAGTATGTACATGTACAGTTGGGAGTGTGTGCTGTAAATCTGTGCTGAACTGAACTGGTACTGAATTACTTCAAGTAATCTTCTGATTTGCGGAAACCTTATGATGATCTTCCAAAGATCCAATTATCAAGATCTCTATTAAATTCTTGCAAACCCAACCCCACAACTTCCTTTATTTAGCCAATTCATCTCTTTTTGCTTTTCCTCTTTTTCTGCTGCCTTCAACTTTTTCCAGTATTAGTACTGGATTTTCCAGTATGTCTTGCCTTTTCATTAGGTAGCCAGTGTGACGACTCAATTTAATCATTTTTGCTTATAAGGAGATATTATGCTTGGTTTCATTTAGCATCCACTTGTTTGTTTTTCTAGGAGTCCACGACTTCTGCAGAACTTTGTTCCAACACCCTTCTCTCCATTTCAAATGAAATGATTTTTTCTTGTCAGTTTTCTTGACTTTCCAGCTTTCACATCTGTCCATATGTAGTAATACATAATACTGTAGTGTAGGTACACTGCAGGATCTTGTCTAGTTCCTTCATTACTACCCTTCTTAGTCCCAGTTTTCTTTTGATTTCTTGGCTGCAATCCCCATTTAGATTGATGAACCAAGGTAAATGAAATCTTTAAGAGTTTCAATTTCTTCATAGTCTACACTGAAATTATGCAATTCCTATTTATCTTCTTAATATTCAGCTGCAGTCCTGCTTTTGCACTTTCTTTTTGCCCTTCATCAGGAATCATTTCAAGCCATCACTGCTTTCTACTTGTAATATATCATTGACCTATCCTAGATTGATATTTCTTCCACCAGTTTTCAGTCCTGCTTCGTGTGAATCTAATGCTGCTTTTTGTATGTTTGTATACAGATTGAACAGATAGGAATATAAAATATGCCCATTATATTTCTCTGTGTTCTGTCTTAATAGTAGCTTTTTGTCCATAGAAGGTTATTCATCAGATTAATCAAAGGTTGAAGTAAATTTCTTGTAAAACCATAGCTTTTCATGATCCACACACAATAGGTTATGCATCCATTCATCAAATGTTGTGGTACACTTATTTCTTTTAGAACAAACCATAGTTTTTCATTATCCATCTAGTCAAAGGCTTTGCTGTATATCACATAGAGTGCTTTATTCTGAAATTATTTGGTACACCCAGTAGTCAACATATATTTGTGATATGATCTCTAGTGCCTCTTTCTTTTCTAAACCCAGCTTGAATATCAGGCATTTTTGGCTCCAGTTTTTCTTGTAAAATCTTGAGGATCACTTTGCTGCGCTCTTTTCATCTCCATTCTTTGGGAATTTCATGTATGTTGAATATTTCCAACCCGTGCCTTTTTTTTGTTTTCCATATTTGTTGGCATATCCTTTTTCATTTGTAGTAGTTCTACTGGTATTTTGTCTACTCCTGGCTGTTTATTTCTTCCAGTTGTTATAAAAGCAGCTTTCACTTCACTTTTTTATTCATCACAGGACCTTTTTCCTCTACAGGGCTCTTTTCAGGTAGTTCTTTAGCATATCATTTTCTTCTTGTCTTTATTTTATTCTGATCAGGATCTCCTGGTGATCCTTAAGCATTCCTAAGCCTGGTTTTGATTTTCTGTTGATTTCTTGGATCTTATTGAAGAAATTTCCTGTCCCCCCCCCTTTTTTTTTTGTTCTCTTTATTTCTTTTCTGTGATTCTGACTGTCAATCCTGAAGGGGGCACATGCATCTTAGTCTGATGTCTCAACTTTGACCATTCTGCCTTGAGTGATCCTGCTAGGACTGTAAACTTGTAGCAAGTCTGGTCTCCAGACAGTACAGTGGACCCTCTACTGTACTTACAGAATTAATTCGTATTGGAACGGTGGCTGCAGGTCGAAAAGTCTGTAGGTCGAGTCTCCATTGACTTACAATGCATTGAAAACCGATTAATCCCGTAACTGGCCGTTTTTGTTCCATTTTGGTTTTTTTCTGGTCTGTAAGTCGATTCTCCGGCTGCAAGTCGAAATTAAATTTTGCGGCCAGAGAAGTCTGTAAGTCGAGCCATCTGTAAGTCGAGCTGTCTGTAAGTCGAGGATCCACTGTATTGTTTTCAGCTTCTCTGAAACACTCAAATCCTCATGCAGCATTAAGGTATGCATCCAAAAGGGGGAGAACATCTCCACCATATTTCCATATTTTTAGTGTTGGTTGCAATCCTGTACACACCTATTCCACAAGTAAGCTGTGTTTAATGCAATGCAAATTAAATCAGAGTAGTTAGGCATTATATAAATACATAGAGTAATTCTAAATCTTATCAGTCATTGAGTCTGCAATCCTATACTTACTTACTTCAATCCTGTTGAATTTCTTAGTAGGCATCTGTAGTAATGCACTGTAAATCCTAGGTAACCTGTAGCAAACCTAAAAATCAAGGTGTTTACTGACTTTCAGAAGATCATTAAAGATACACACATCTGTAGTCTCAGTAAGTGTTAAAAAGAACATGGCAGATATGTACCTCCCATTGTAGTACAGATTGCATGTTTAGCCTTAGTGTGTCTTAAAAGCAAATGCAAATCTGCCTCCCATACTCCACATTCCAGTTTGGTCCACAGCACCAGTAAAGCCTTAAAGATCTATTATTTTTCTGGTGCAACTGAAGAATATTGCTGCTGTTTGCTTCTGTTTTTGTTTAAAAATAAATCAAGAGCAACAATATCTAGGCTAAGGCTAAAGACTTGCCTAAATAACATCATGTCTAACTTGTTTACATTTCTGATAATCCAGCCTTTGCTTGTGCTGTCCATTTATAGATAGTTCCTTTATGGACTTTGGTTCTCTAAACCTAATAGTTGCTCATGTTTTCAAGTCATGTTGAAGAAGGTCTAGCTGCCTCTTGTGAGTAGTACTTGTTTGTGTTTACAGATTGTCCTTATTTCATCCTAGTCATGTTTTAAATCTCTTGTAAGATGGGAGATTTTATATGGTTTCCTGAAACTAGAAGTGTGTTGAACCTTTTAACATACAGTAGGTTGTTAAGAACTGGTGGTCTGTGAAGTAGTTGCTGGAATAGTGATGTCTCAGTAATTCAGGGTACTTGCCTCAGTGAAGGTGGCCATTTATAGAAGTACAAATGGTGTATTTTGCTCAGATCTTTGACTGTAGTCATCATGGTATGATTCAGATGTTTGTTACTAAGAAACATTATTCTCCACTTTAGGTGTGGAAGTTACATATTCTCTAGGTGTTTGGAGCTTGCACGATCTCTCTCCACCAAATGTGCTGGCTAGAGCTGCTATAAGTTGTCATTCAACAGCACCTGGAGGGTCACAGTTGACCATCACTCCTAATGTATCACTTATCTCCTGACTGTGTCTTTAGCTATTGTTCATCTTAGGCAGATTCTGTCCTGGCATCTGTGTTGACCTTGGCATTTCATACTATGAATTTTTATTTTTATCTCTATTGAAATGTGCACTTCATGTGTTCTGTGTAATTGCCTCAAATGTAACATACTTAAGACTTTACATGAAAGACGTTGTATGTGTTTGTATGTCTATCCCTTTTTGGTAGAAAGTGAACTGTTTGTTAATTTTACTTGTATGTATTTGTGGCTATGCTGAAAAGAGAGAGGAACCTCTCACATTAAATGCCAGCGAGACCGGCATGGCCACACATCATTATGCTCTCTAAGGCAAAGTTACAGAGCATGTGAAATTTGAGCTGAATGTGTGATCTGGAGATCTATTGATACTGGCCTTTACAAAATACGGAGGACAAAAGGAGATGTGATGTTGAGGTGGATTCATTCTAGAACAATGATTTCCAGCCATGGTTCCCCAGATGTTCTTAGATTAAAACTCCCAGAAGTCTTCACCACTAGCTAAAATCTAACTTGTTCTTGATGGCACATAAACAAAGGGTTCCTTGTGTGTATTTAGTAAAATGGCCCGAAAATTCTTCTTTACCAGAGTTAGCCTCTTTTTAATTGTGCTGTTTTTGTTTGTGTGAACCAGACTGCTTATTGTTACTTCATCTAAGCAGACTGTAGAAATAAGATGGGAGTTTCAGTTTTGCTCTTAATGAAAACGATATGTATGGCAATGTCTTAATGCGCATTTAGGGAAATACATAACTCTCATTTGCAGACATGTTCTTTTGTGCCATACATTACTCTTTCTGTTTTGCCATGACCAGTGAAATTCAGGCACAGGACAATTCTAAGCAAGAGTTATTTATATCCTGTATTTTGATGTCCAGTGGCAGCGTATTGTGGGGCAGGTGGACAGGAGAGAGCGCTGCAAAGTTTGCTGGGAATGGCTATAGATCATTGCCTTATGGGAGGTAGCAGGAGCTGATGATGTGAGCCGCCTAGAATGGTCAATCAACTAGATCAGTGGTTCTTAACCTTTGTTACTCGGATGCTTTTGAACTGCAACTCCCAGAAACCCCAGTCAGGACAGCTGGTGGTGAAGGCTTCTGGGAGTTGCAGTCCAAAACACCTGAGTAACCCAAGGTTAAGAACCAGTGAACTAGATAGGCGGGATATAAATAAAATAAAAAAAATTGATGTGCTGAAATAAAGAAAAATTTTGGGCATGAAAATACAGAGCGGCAGTAACGGGGCATAGAAAGGAATAGTAAAGGTTGAGGGTGTCTTGTGCTTCCTGTCCAAGGTAATGGCAACACTGGGAGGCCTCATTCTCCAAGGAAAATGGGAGCATGAAGCTTGAGGAATTCTGAACAAGGTGGGATTAAATTAAATTGCAGGGGATTTTTATTTATTTATTTATTTTTAAGCTCTGTGGAAGCTTTTCAGAGTTGTGAAACCCTAATGGATCCAGGCAGAGCTTGCTGGATATGTGATGAAAATAGTTTTTGTCTTGTGATAAGGGAGTATTTATTGCTGCCTGGATCTCCAAAGAGGAAAGTAAAGAGAAGTGGAGAGACATGGAGAAGTTTTTTAAACTGCATATTTATTCTAACTTTCTAACTCTTATTCTAACTCTTTCTAATTCAAAAAGAGTTCTGAGTTGTAGTATTGTACTTTTCAGACCAGTGATCTCTCCTTAACTGTAACCTGCAGTGTGAAACTCAGTATAATTTTTATGATAGACTCCATTTCTTTTTTAATCTTCCTCATTATCCATATTTCTCCCTGGTTCCTTCCTACGTGTTTATCCTTTTGTCTTCAAAAAAATGAAACAAAAGGGCAGAAAGCCTCACTTACTGCTGTAACTAATTGGTTGAGAATCTGTGGATGGCACTTGAGAGCATACACTGAAAAAATATACCCTTGATGAAAACAGTAAGTTTACTGAATGCTAGGAGCATATCTAACTTAACAAGTCAGAAACAGAAGCTCAGTTCAGAGTAATCTCTGTGTGATGTTATTTGTCACTTGGTTGACGGTCCAGAGAATAGCATAGAACCAGGATCTGTAGTTCAGGCTTAATGCTCTGTCTGGAGAGCCACAGAGGAGTTGGTTAAAATCTCTGCCAAATGGTTAAACAGGGTGATTCTTTCTAAAGAACACCTGTCCATATTGATGTCCAGTGCTTTGATTAAAAGATGGCCAGGTCTTCTGATGTACTTTGTCTCTAAAATAGGCACACCAGTTGTAGTAAAAAAAAACCAAGGAAAAAAAGCAGAAATACTTGAATTCACTATACAGTAGTAGTATGTGTTAAGGACACTATGTTCAGTGTATTCATAATCTTAAAGAATATACATATTAATGCAGAAATGATTATTTAGTTGTAAAAGGGTTGTAGGCAGTTGTTATTAACTGACTTCGGTCCTTTGGGGAAGAATGGAGGAGTAAACATATTTTGTGTGTGTTTAGTCGTTTAGTCGTGTCCGACTCTTCGTGACCCCATGGACCAGAGCACGCCAGGCCCCCCTGTCCTCCACTGCCTCCCGGAGTTGTGTCAGGTTCATGTTGGTTGCTTCGCAGACACTGTCCAGCCATCTCATCCTTGGTCGTCCCCTTCTCCTCTTGCCATCACACCTTCCTAACATCAAGGTTTTTTCCAAGGACTCTTATATTTTAAATAAATAATAAATAAAAAACTTGGGGAGAGGGACAATTTGACTCATGTTAAAAGTTCCTTAGAAAGGAAAGGATTGTTTGGATTAAATATTGGGGTAAAGCATGGTAGTTTGACGTTGATTTGCTGATGAAGAAAGGTGACATTTGTTTAGCTTCCAAAAGACTTTGGTTAGATGGTTTTGACTTACTGAATTGCATTTCTTTGTTCTTTTATGAACAGAACAGAAACACTTCCAGGTGTTTGACTGTTCGGTGTATTTTTTGTTTGTATACAGCTACTCTCACATATGATACTCTCAGGTTTGAGTATGAAGACTTCCCAGAAACCAAGGAGCCAGTTTGGATCCTGGGGAAAAAATATAGTGTATTAACAGGTATGTTGTGTTTTAAATGTTTGAAGTAATTTGAAGAACTCTGAAGACTCCATTCTGTTCTCCTGAACTCTACTATCCTTGTTCTCTTTATAGGCTTTGTCATGAGATGTTGGCCTGCTTTTTTTTTTCTTCTTCTCTTGTTTGATAACATGCTCTATTTGATATTTTTAGAGAAAGAAGCTATTCTTGACGTGGAGATGGCAAACAGGTCTCCGAGTCTAATCTCTGAAACCTAAATATTGTGTGACAGAGAAATGCCTGAAATAAGCTAAAATGTTAAAAACATATTCTCTCACGTTCACCAATAATAGTTTTGTTTATCATGTATCTTTTCTAGCCTGCAGTCCAGATATTTGGTTAGTGTAGCCGAATGGGAACAACTCTGTATTCTTGATGGCCTGGTTTATCAATATCATTGAATCATCGCAATGCCATTTATGGAAAGGTGTGAAAATAACTCATGTTATTATATTTGGTTCTTTAGAGAAAGAAGAGATCCTGTTGGATGTGACATCTCGACTTTGGTTCACATACAGAAAAAACTTTCCGGCCATTGGTGAGACGCAGCCTTTGTATTCTAGATCGTCGTGTAAATTAGACTTATTCACTTCTTAGTGCTTGATTTCCTCATAGCATGGAGAAGCCAACACAAACTTTTCAGTTATTTGTATTTGATAGGACCATGTAGAGTATGAAGAAGAATGCTTCAACTGTGTAGGTTCCAGAAAATAAGTTTTATATTTGCTTTTGGTCTGTTACTGATATTCACATTTCTAGCACTTAGAGCAAGAAAAGGAATTATAAATGTTTAAAAGTACAGACACTGGAGAATATACAGTAATATGAATGTGATCAGGAGGGATGACTGTATAATCTTTGGAATCTTATCCTTTTCTTCTTTGGTTTGTTATATAGCTGCGTGTAGATTAAAAAGATCAAAGAGGAGACTAAAATTCTTGCAGTTCTTAATTATGCATTCTGGCATCTATCTTCTGGAGTTGCATGGCTGTTAGATTTCCAAAAGGCATTGGAAGCCAGAATGATAGCTCTGTGAATACTAAGGGTAATACTTAGGAATATTATGTTCTCCCATGAAAACTATATAAATGTACAAGATTTAAAAATAAAAAGTTGAAGATCCTGTGTTCTTTATCCCAGTTAAAGCCGTGGAATACTAGAGCTTCAGGAAGCTGAATGCGGTGTTTCCTGTGAATTATGGTCTCATTGTTCTTTAGGCTCTACAGAGGGTTTTCCCACTGTATCCAGATTGCTTATGTTTGACAAGGCCATTTTGTACATTGACTATGTGTATATACTTCTCTCTTTCAGTGAAATTACTACTTGAATATATCACTGAAATCACTGTCAGGAACACTATAATTTTATTTTGACTTGATGGCACCAAACACACGGACATACAAATATAAAACATCATTTTTCTTTTCTTTTGATTTTTGCTTCTGTGAGCTAGAGAGCAATCACAATAAAGCACTGAAAAATAGGCAGGAGTGTATAGCCTTGATTCAGTCTTGTACTTGTTTATATAGGAGCAAGTTACATTGGCTGAAATCCTGTTGCTCAGTGTGATATGTTGCACTGGAGTACACCCATTGAATCAGTGAGCATTTAGTGAGTCAGTTTCTCTATAAGTTTCATTAATTTCCCACTGATTGATTCAGTGGCCCTACTATCTATGACAAGCAACAGGAGTTCAACTAATGTGTTCAGTTATCCTCTATTTTAGATAAGCATATAGTGTATTGGATTGCAGTTACAGACTGACCTCTGGGCCCTTCTGTCTAGACTAGGAATACACAAATTTCTTATTAGCTCACATTGATTGTGGCACACGTTTAAATATATTGTTTCTGTGCTTTCTGGCTCCAGGGGGAACAGGTCCTACATCTGACACTGGTTGGGGCTGTATGTTAAGGTGTGGTCAGATGATCTTTGCTCAGGCGTTGGTCTGCAGACACTTAGGAAGAGGTAGGTCATATGCCAATTATAAACACGGTTGAAGGGCATGACATCTTCGTCTGTATAAATAATTTAAGGTGTCTAAAAATTATTTTAGCTTTGAAGAAGTATGTGATAAAGTAAGCCCATTGAAAATATTTGAATACACCCTTGGTAGCATTACTTTCCTCAAACTTTATTTTAACATTTCTGTTAGTACAGAAAAGTATAGTTCACAAGGGTAACTAGCACAATTACTTTTGCTGATGGTTCATGCAATGTGAAAAAAAAATTAAGCATGAATTTGTCACAGTAGGAATGCACAGTTGGTGTTATCCATAATACTCCTCTGCAGGAATGCAAGTAAATAGCTGAAGAGTCTTAAACATGGTTAACAGTGTCTTGATTTAGCCAGCATTGAAAAAACTGTATGGAAAATATTGATTTTTCTCTTTTCCGTTTTGACCAAATAGTTCCCCAGGATAATTAGAGATTATACTCTTCAATATTTTGATTCCTTTATAGTATGTATGTGTAAAACCATTATTTTAAAGCAGTTTCATCATGAAGACTTATGAAAATACTTGTGTTACTGTAAGCACACAGAAAAACCATAATGCATGTAGAATTGAGAGTATTTTGAGCATCTCTTTTGTTTCCCAGATTGGAGGTGGGTGAAAGGAAAAAAACAGACAGACAATTATTACAATGTTCTTAATGCCTTCATTGACAAAAAAGACAGCTATTACTCCATTCACCAAATAGGTAAGATTTTTACCTATAATGTATTCATGCAAATAGCTCTTTCCCTTAAATATTCTAGTAGTTGTGAATTCTTCTGATTTTAGTATTTTGCCAAGAGGCCACTGGTTCTGTATGAAAATAATATGGGCCATCTACAGATATAAACTCATGAGGATGCATCTAAACCAAAACTTGAAAAGATTGTTTTTTGGGATTACAGGTCCCAGTGAGTGGCATTGATTCAGAGTTTGTATTTTAGCAATGTAGTTGATCTGAGTAGAACTTCGAAAAATTGTTGTATTTTGAAGTGGGATGGGAATTACCAATCCTTGGTCCCCACCCCTAGTCAGCTTGACCATTTTACCGCAGCACGGTCCTGTACGTCTCTACTACACTACATTCAGTCAGATTCACCTCCATCCAGTATGTATGTCTGGAAACCACCCAGTTAAGGTCATATTTTGTAATGGACATTGTAAAATTCATGTCAGCGAAGGAGTGTGAAATCAAGATACCTTATTTCACAGACCAGAGTAATAATCTTGCAGGCTAGATTTTCAAATCATCCGTAACAGTATGAATAAGAACTCCTGAGGTTTCTGCTTGCAGAATATAGTATACCAATTTAAAAATGAAGCGCAGTGGCAAGAATTAGTATATTTTTAATTCAGACCCTTTAACTTTCTACTTTCTTGGGCAGTAAAATTATTGAAGATGTTTAGGGGATGCCTTCATACTCCACTATGTGTGATGACTTTTTCTGTTACTCTTTCGGTGGTATTCACTTGAAACGTAGCCTTTCGAAAACATCTTGTAGGCTTTTTGCTCATGCCAACCCATCAAGGCAACAATATAATTTTATTCAAATAGTCTCTTTTATGTCTAATGTCAGGAGAACCAAATGTGTTTTTGCTAGGCTGAATTCTACAGTAGGTCCTCATGCAGACAGTTGCGAATAACAATCCAGTGGGAGAAACTTGTTTGAGATTCCACTTTTGATGACTTGAACTCATGTTCAGTTGTCATCTGATCCCAGGCACTCTTAGCTTCATGGACAATTATAAGGAAATTTAAATGGTTGAAATAGTTTTAGAGCTAAGGAGTGGTGAGGTAAGAGAGGTCCCTGTTTGTTCCTACGAAATAGTGTAGAAAGCTGTGCATGTTTGATTTCCAAATATGCTAAGCAGCTGGAATTCTGTTTAGTGAGAAATATGTGCCTGCTGTCTGACAGTGTCAATGTCCTACATGAATATAAATATTTAAAACAAAACAATGAAGAACTACAACAGACTAATATGACTAACCTTTTGGAAGCACTGTTATTGTGCTTCACAATGCTTTTTCCCTTTTAGAGTACAACAGCCTTCTCCATTTCTTATTAATATATATGCCTCAAGTGTGATAAATACATTTCTTTAATGTTTACTTAACAAATGTTATTCTCTGCATAAAGAAACAATGGTTGTTTGAGATACATCATTATTTTTAATGAGAATTTGGTTGGAGAGTGTCAGGAAACCCTTTGTAGCTGTTTGTAGGGAATCAACCTGATTTGGCTCAGGTAGAAGATTATTGGCATGTACCAATGAGAGCGGTTGGGAGGCAGAGCCAGAGAAACTAGAAGAGAGGGGTGAGTCAGAGTCTAGTCAGTTCAGTCAGAGACAGAATTTGGAGAAGGAGTTTGGGGGTTTGAGGCAGAGAGAGTGTGTTTAAGGAGTGATTAGTCAGAGTGTGACCTGTATTAAGATAGGAGAGGTTACAGTAAAATACTGAAGCTTTGTGTAACTTTAAGAATGTGCTTAAGAATTATTCCTGAAACAACTTGTAATCAATAAACCTGTTTCTGTTTCAAAATTCACTACTGAATAGACCTCAGTCTTTCATAGGAAATATAGGTTGATAAAGAGATCAACTGGTGGCAGCGTGTTAAAGGGCATGTTCGGATACTTGTATGAGCTCTGTGTTTGGTGAAACAAGCAGGGGTCACGGGGTAAACGCCACACTGTTACATTAGTTATAAGTTTATAGAAGCTCAGAAGGTCCACTTAATGATATTATAGACCAATTATGATTTCTTTGTTGCAGCCCAGATGGGAGTTGGAGAGGGGAAATCCATAGGCCAGTGGTATGGACCAAATACCGTTGCTCAAGTACTCAAGTAAGTGCTTGATGATTCCTATTATTAACAGCATTCTGCAGTCCTCAGAATATATTGGTTGCTGAAAGCTTTATCATTTTGGAAAATCAAATTTTCTTCCAAATGGTATTCACCTTAACTAGCCAAAAGTAAATTGAGCATTTGAAGCCTTATGCAAATATGTATTTTTTGAAAACTATTTCTTTTGTAATGCAAATAATTAGATCTCTTATTTCAGGTCTGTGCAGTAGGAATTGGTACAGTAAACCCAGGCATACATGATCATATAACAGTCTGTCCTGACTCCATGCCAGAGGAATTTTAGCTGAATTTTCACAGTTCTCTTAGGCTGTTAGAAAGCTTCTCATGGGGAGGGGGGAGGAGATGCAAATGATTCAGTACAAGTGACCATTTCAGGAATTCAGTATGTATATATTTTTTCTGAAACCATGTAAGTGAAGCTTTTAGAATCTCCAGTCCTGTAGCTAAATCTACGAACATGCAACCAATATAATATCATTGCTTGTTTCTCTCTTCTACTTTTCTTACATAAGAATAGCCCTGCTTTCTTCAATCAAATGTTCATCTCATCCAGCATTCCATTACTATGATAGCCAACCAGATATCAGTGGGAAGCCCACAAGTGGGGCAGGAGTAGCATAGCACACTCCTGTTCATGTTTGTGAATGCTTATTTCCCATGTTGCCATTTTTATAATGCAAGCCCCTTGAAATGACACAGTCTGACTCTGTAAAGTTCCATAAAACATGGGAAATTTTATAACAAAAGCTCCAGGTGAGCCTCTGGAGACAACATTCCATAACTTGAGTGCCTAACCTAGGTGAAATGTGTCAATAAATTTCGTATACCCACAAGGGATGACTGTCAAATGATTAATGTAGTCAAGGAATGCTGAAGTATATAGTATACTGTATAGGAATTGTTCTGTGCTCCGGCACCATGCTGCTATTAATACCTGACAGATAACAATAGGCTTCCTTAATTGGCAAAATTCTTTCCTTGCCAGCATTTTGCCAGCTAAGAAAGACATTCCCTCTATCTTTGCATATTCTGTAGATATACTTTTGGACATTTGTAAGGGAAGATGGAATGGGAATGACCTGCAATGTACACTTAGAGCACTATTTTCAAATTCACCTCTTTGGTTAGCCCCTCCTCCTTTAGTGGCTCTCTTTGGGAGTGTACCCTCAGGCTGCTAGCCAGTCTGGAAAATTGCCCACCCCTCTTTTAGCATAACTCATACATACGTAAATATATATGCACGAAGAACTGTCTTGTGTGGTAAGAGGCTCAAACATCTGCTTATTAAACTCATACAAAAGGTTAGAGCTGGGATGCTGTATTTGCTATCTAATACTGAATTGAACAGCTGGGTTCTAACCTGTGCAGTATGATCATGGCCATGCAGCTTTCTGGATTTCCTTTTTTATCAGGTTCATCATTAGATCTTTTCTTTTTCTTTCCTCTAGAAAACTTGCCACTTTTGACACATGGAGCTCCTTGGCAGTGCACATAGCCATGGACAATACTGTTGTGATGGAGGAAATAAGTAAGTATCCCTGTGATTTTCTGGGTATGTATTTTCTTTTTGATGAAAGATAATTAAGTGAAAGAATGAAAAGGAGGCGGTCATGTCTTTAGAAAAAATGTTCTTACTCAGGTCTGTGGCAGTGAAGTCAATTTGAACCCAACTATAAAAACCAGATGGATGTAGTCAGTCTTCTACTCTTGAATTGTGAAATACAGCTGATTTTAAACTATGAATTTAAGACTTCTCAGATGAGATTATTTTCTCCATTGAAAAAGTAAGATTTGTTTGACACTTTGATTAGAAACAGATGGCTGCATTGTACAAAGGCAAGAATATGCTTCTAGGCTTGCATGTTTTTAGAGATGTGGGAGTTTAGGTTTTGTATGCGGAGACTGGAGGGAGTTAGCTGTCTTAGTCTGTAGCGACAAAAATAGCAGAATCTTGTAGCACCTCAAAGACTAACAAGTTTTATTTGGCATAAGACACGTGGGATTGCGGGTTCCAAGTGCTTGTGTAGAATTACGTAAATTAGGTAATCTTTGAGGAGCTACTCTTTCTTGTTTTTTGTTTCTAAGCTAGAATTTCCAGATGCAGCAAGGTAGCTTTATATGTGTGAAGAAAGAGACACAAACACACGCACGCACGCACGCACGGCGCACGCACGCACACACACACACACACACACAGAGGTAACAACATCATGGTAAGTGTGATAGACTTCATCTAAGTACTGAATTTTGAAAATCTTGCCTTCTAGCAGATCTAGAAGACTCTGGAAAAGGTTTGATGGCACACAAATTATTATTAAGGATAGATTACCAAGCTTAAGTACTTTGGCCATCTCATGAGAAGAGAAGACTCCCTGGAAAAGACCCTGATGTTAGGAAAGTGTGAGGGCAAGAGGAGAAGGGGACGACAGATGATGAGATGGTTGGACAGTGTCATCAAAGCGACCAACATGAATTTGGCCCAGCTCCGGGAGGCAGTGGAAGACACGAGGGCCTGGCATGCTCTGGTCCATGGGGTCACGAAGAGTCGGGCACGACTAAATGACTAAACAACAACCAAGCTTAATTCCTTGTATCAAAAATCATAATTGTAGCGAAGGCTTAATTCGTTGTATCAAAAATCATAATTGTAGCGAAGCTTCATTTTTATTATACAGTATTGTATGCTGATTTTAAGTGACCTTGAACATTGCCTAATTGTGAAAAGGTTGAATAGAAATTTAATGCAGTAGTCATAATAAAGGCGGAGACAGGCAGCACATTTTTGCTGGGGCAGAATGACATTTTTATTCCATGCCATGTCTGGGAAAATTCATATAGAGGGTAGTTTAAAAAATGTTCAAATTGACACGTGGACATTGGAATCCATTGAACCAGTACCCTGTTGCTACTGCAAAGTAGAATAGAAATCCCCTTTGAGTCAATAGGACTGCTCTGACTGTGACTAGTAATAGCATCCTAGCCATTAGGAAAAAAGATTCTAAATATAATGCCTCTTTGAACTCAAGCACATAACTTGTCCTTTAAAAGGCACAGATTGATCCTTCTGGTATTTACTGCATTGTGCCACAGGTAGCATAGTGCTTGTAAACTATTTGTAGTATATCCTTTACAGCTTCAGACAGAAAGAGGTCATATTCTGAACTCTGTTTTGAATTCATTGGACTAGGAGATAAAAATGTCTTGGTTTGCTTGGAGCAGTCAGTTTGTGCACACAAATCGGAAATGATTGGGTAAAACTGCTCTTCTGTTTAGTAAATGGGTAACTCATGTTGGTGTAACTTTGTGTGGTATAACCCGGCTTGGTTGCTGAAAGCATTTCATCTAAAGGAATTTAAAGTCTCCTTTCACCTTCCTTTTAGGTTCTGAGGCACCTGTGGCTCCCTTTTGCCTGTGGAAGCCTTTGGGAGCCACCAGATAGCAGGGGAACCTTTAATAGATCTGGTAGCTTAAAAAAAAAAACTATTAAAGCCCCCCTCTCCATCCTCAGGCTTTCCCAGAGCAAAAGGGAGCCCCTAGGGAGACTTAGAACCTAAAAAGGGAGGGATAATAAACTTTCTGTTACTTGAAATTGAATGCTTTCAGGTTCTCCCAGCACAAGAGTTTACATGATGGGATTTTGCCCATTTCAACATAGTAGGAGCTGTGATTTTGAAGCAATGCATTATTGTGGCATTTATGGGGATTGCATCCCACTGGACTGCATTAGCTCTAATTTTTTTACTTATTAATCGGTCTTCTTTAAATAAGTAACCCAGTTAAGGTCTCCTAGCTGAATAAATACACTTCTACTACAAAGTAAACATTATGTAAGGATAAGTACAGATACATCACTCCGAAGAAACCTACTTTGGATGTGGAATTTCCTAGGTGTAATTCCTACTACCTCAGTTTTTGGCTGAATGGATCTCAGGAAGCAGGACCAGAAAAGGCCTCTGCCCAAGACCTTGGTGGACTGCATCCACTTTCTGCAGATAGAATGCTACTTGTGGGAGTGGGAGTCTGACAGAGTATAAGACAAGGTTGTATGCTCATGTCCAACCTTCTAGTCCATGTGGTTTTTTGCATATATCTTAATACTTTGGATAACAGCATTCATGTATCATTTTTAAGGGACTTTGTGAAATATACCATCAGACTTTGTGTAGAAACTTGTACATGTAGAGGGGTATTTATCATGGGGGAGGTAGGACCTTCACAAGCAGTTTCTGTTGAGCATTTAGGGTGGCTCTGCAGCCAACCATAGAACTGTCAATCTTTCACTGAGGTTGTTTCTCTTTCTGTCTTTCCTCTTAATAGGGAGGCTGTGCAGGTTCAGTTATCCATGTCCTGGAGCTTCAGCGTTTCCTGCTGCAGAATCAGACTTTCTTTCCAATGGATATCCAGAGGGAGCAGAATGTACCAACAGACTATTGCTCTGGAAACCTTTAGTGCTGCTGATACCTCTTCGCCTTGGGCTCACAGATATCAATGAAGCCTATATTGAAACACTGAAGGTAGAGGGTTTGAATAAACTGCCTAGATAGATCAAGCATCCAGTACAAAGTGTCTTTTTAAATTACTCTTGTTAATTTTTCTGCTTATATGTACAAGTGACAGAAGCCCCCTTAGTTCTATTCTTAGTGCTAATCATGGAAGCATTTTAAGATTGATTGTGAGACATTTAAGATTAAATCTGAAATGCAATTGAAGTAATGCACAGTTCATGTAGTATGAAGTTTATATCATAGATGGAGGAATTGTATGTACAAGAACAGTGAGAGCTGTGCAAAATGAGCATCTGAGGTGGAGTGGAGAGCATTTATTATCTCCACTACAATGATCTATGCATCTTATATATTTGATGATGTCTGAATAATTATACTTAATAATCATGTACTTAGCTTCTCTTTGTATTCACTCTATTTTGCAGACCTGACAATAGAATGATTTATGGTGCTATAGATCATGAGACTCAGTTCTGAATAAATGCATCCACGGGATTGTACTTTTTAGTTGTATATTTTTGAAGATATCTCTAACTCTATATTACTCCTTGCCTGGATGGATGTTCCAGTTTCTACTCGCTTCTGTCTCACTCACTGAACATGTGTTGTTTTCTAGCATTGTTTTATGATGCCACAGTCCTTAGGAGTCATTGGAGGAAAACCCAATAGTGCTCATTATTTCATTGGATATGTAGGTGAGTGACAGTCATTCTCAGAAGCAAGTATACTGAGTACATCAGTAAATTACCTATCTAAGAATACCACTATACCTTTGCTATGAGAACAGCATTATATCAGATGCACTTTGCCACATCATGTAACTTATTATATAATAAGGCAGCTTGTTTAAGAACAAGTGTCTCTTTATCCTCATTGCTTAGAGCCATGCTTAGAAGTATTGCTGAGAGAGCCTTTGGCAAATTACTTCCTTGTGCAATTTTTAGTGTTTTGTTTTTATAAGTGTGTAAGAGAGCCATTGTGATCTGGTACTGTCTAGATGCTTTGGACAGGACCTCCCATAATTTCTGACCACTGGCCAATCTATCTGGGGCTGCTACTTCTTTGTTTCTGTCAGATGCAATCCAGTAGTGCTTCTGGAGTGGAAAGATTAGTCAACCAGGAGATGCCCAAATGTGTTCAAAGTCCTTATGCTCTTTGCAGGGGCTCCTTCCATGTCCCCCACTGGCTGGGGCTGTTGGAGTTGTAGACCAAAAATCTTGAGGGCACCAGGTTAGGGAAAATTTAAGACATTGTGAGTTTCCCTGTCCTATCTGGCTTGATTCAGCAGGTTACATGCAGTGGACTCTTATCTCACCGGAAGTTCAGAATTGTATTTCCTTCAACAAATGTTCTCTTTTTTTCCAGGTGAAGAACTAATTTATCTCGATCCACACACGACTCAGCCTGCTGTAGAGCCTACGGACAGTTGTCACATCCCTGACGAGAGTTTCCACTGCCAGCACCCACCCTGCAGAATGAACATTGCAGAGCTTGATCCTTCTATCGCAGTGGTGTGTGCTTGAAATTCATTTTCATATTGAAATGTGGGCTGTATTCTGAGACAGCCTTTTTGTTGTCTAGTTACAAATTGATCTCCCTATGAAGATGCAAGTGTTGCGCTCTTTTTTCTCCTGATCTCTATTCTTTCTCTTCTCTCTCCTGATTTCACTAGGGCAGATCAATCACTGTATTGATCTTTTAGCTTTCAAAATGTGTCTGCTTCTATATTTAAGACATAATCATTTTACATTTAAAGCATGTGATATGATTGTTTCTCAGCATTTTCAATTTATATTTTTTACATTAAAAAACCACTTTCTTTTGCAGGGTTTTTTCTGCAACAAAGAGGAAGATTTCAATGACTGGTGCCAACAGATAAAAAAGGTTCGTTTTAAAGTGAATTATTTGTGGGGGGAAAACAAGAATATTTAGCCAGGAAAAATTGAAACTTAAGAAAGCAAATTCAGCTTTAGTGTCCTTCAATCAATAATTGGGACCTTTTAGAGGTCACTGATTCATAGGATTGCTGGAAGTTGGAAGCATCTTAACGGCACACAACAATGATCAGTTGGAATGAGTAAAGCATTAATGTCAAGATCCTGTGTTGATTTGTTTGAGACAAGGACCTTCCCTGATCATCAAGTGTTCTTTTCTATCAGATGACTATTCAGGCTGTAAACCAGTAAGGAAATGGCCTTCTAACCTCTCATCCTGCTGCTTTTTGTGGGAAGATCATCTTGACATTTGTTTTAAATTTATAGATGTTTAATTGGCAATTATACCTTTTTTAAAAGAAAAGACAGCTTAGAAACAAATCCTATACGCACGTACTTTTCTGGAGGATTTTCTAGCTACACGTGTTGAGATGACAACAAATAACCATCAGCTTCAATACAGAAATCCAGAAAATGTCAACATGTAAAAAGTAATAAAACCTAAAATAGTAGGAGCAGCTGTACTGAAAGCTGGTGTACATCCAGGTTGCATTAGATGTCCTGTTGAAATTAACTAGATATAAATTAGTCTTGGTTAACTTGTTCTTCTAATTTTTACGAGACTCAAACTTTCTATGGACTGGGGCCATTTAAAAGCCTTTGCAGATTACTCTCCCTCTCCCCCAAATTCTTGTCATGCATAGAAAACTCATTGGGTACCCAGCACATATAATTGTCCCAGAACAATCTTAAGAAATTGTCTTATAGCTCTATAAGAAATACTTTAATTAAAGGTTCCTAATAAGCCTACAAAATCACAGGTACTGTGTTGGTCAGACAGAGAAAATCTACATAGGGTAATACCCTTGCTGAAAGCAATTACAAATTCATTATATGTGAATAAGCTTTTTTGATCTCAAAATGCTGCTTCAGGCTGCATATTGAGTGAATAAATAAGTAAATGAAAATAAAACTAAGATAAATTTGGGTTTGGTGAGAGGTACGATTACATTGAAAAGCCCCCAGAGTCTGCAATTTGTCGTCCTTATTTTTCTTTTATATAATCGTGAGACTTCACGAGAAGGTGCAAATAACTATACAGGGCATCTATGAATCTTAATCAGCGTCATATCAAACTTCCAAAGGCTGAAACCAATTGTTATTTCCATTGGAGTATAGCTATTGTAACCCCTAAACTAAATGTAAGGGCTGACTTACCAAAGACCTTTTGATTCAATGGGTCTGCTGTAGTTGAGACTTAATAGCTGCATTTAGGTTCAGACTCTGTGAAGCACTGTCCATAAAACATTTTCAAGGATGACTTTGGGATCATAGGGGCTAGAAACATAGAAAAAGCCCTCTAAACTCCTGCCCCAGCCTTAAGATTCTAGGGAAGCTGAATTTTGCATCTTGTAGCTATTGTCTTATTCAACTGGGAGATGTCCTGACTTTTAAGATATTCTTCTCAATAGCAAAATTACGTTTCACTCCAGCTTTAACAATCTTGATCAAGAAATGGTAAACTAATCTTCCTCATTTCTCTTCCCTTCTAATAGTTGTCAATGATTAGAGGAGCCCTGCCAATGTTTGAACTAGTAGAACATCAGCCTTCACACTTCTCTAGCCCTGATGTTTTGAATCTCACTCCAGGTAATGCTTACCTGTTTCACCTATAAGAGAGCACCATAAGGGGTATTTTACTGCCTGTGGATTTTTTACACCAAATGCATAATTCATAGCCCTGCTCTAGCATTGCTTAAATCTGTGTAGGACTCAATGGATTATGTGGAAAGGGCCATGCATAGAAGTCCCAGAAGTCTCTCATATCTTTGCTGGTTTAAAGTGAAGGTCCACAGCAGAAGCTATAATTCCCAGACTCTGGAACTCCCTCCCACAGGAGACCAAGCTGGCCCCATCTTTGCTGACCATGAACAAACAGACAAAAAAAAAATTATGTGCAGGCAGGCTTTCCCTTAGTGACTGGCTGTCTTAAGAGGGTTTTTCTTAAAATTGATTGTTGTACCTTGTTGCTTTTAAATGTGTTTTTAGTATTTTATTTTATTTACTGTTTTTAATATAATTTTGTTAATTCTTTCAAAATATTTGTATATTGACTGTTTTTGCTTTCAGATACTGTATTGTCTTTTAAATGATGTAAGCCCCCTTTGGGTCTTTTTTTAGGAAAAAAGGTGGGGTAAAATATTTTTGAAAAATGAATAATATGCTTACAATGGAAGTTTTGCCTTATCAGGGCTCTCCATTACTTGAGTGCCCAGCTGAATGTGTTCACAATCTCCACTGCAGATCTTGTTGAATAGATCTAGTTCTGTTAAACATCTAGATGGAAACATAGGGATCAGGGGTTATATTCCTTCCCACCTGCCCTCCATTCATTGAGCCCCACACATATTCAGGCTTAATGCCTTAATGGCGCTATTGCAAAAGCCTTTGGTGCCTTTTTCGCCCATGGAACCATGGCGTTGTGAAGATGCAGAAGCTGATGTTCTTAGTTAAGAGCACTTATATGATAGTACAAGAAACCTTAGAACCTCACCATCTTTTTTCTGGTCACTTTGCTGCGGACCTATTTAATTAATTAATCCTTGCTTACTTCAATTTCTTACTTTGGATTTTCTTCTCCTTTATCATATACATCAGGAGAAATCTTTGGGTGGAGTTGGATTCTATTTTTGTGTATGCTGAACCACCATTTCTGATTTCTGGGATTTAAAAATCTCTCTAAAATGTGGTAGTTCAGTAAGTTTGTTATTTGCGTTATTTGTGAGAGCAATTTTGGCCCGGTAACTATTCAGTGGAGAACTGTATGGGCACCTTTAAAAGATGCTTTTGAAGAAACAGCTTACAGCAGACCAGTACTCCACAGCCTTTAATAATAGTACAAAGTGAAATAGTGCCTGTAAAGTAGAACCTGGATGTTTCCTAAACAAACTCTGCACTACACTTTTAGTTCATCTGCCTTGCTGCCTTCTACTGGAAACTGCCCTTTGGATCAGCAAAACTGAAATAATCAAGTTCTTATTTTGGCAGCTAATATTTAGAGTATGAAGAAGAGGGTCTCACGTGTGTCCAGGAAGTCATGCATATTTTTTAAAACAAGCTAAAGCTTTGTGCAGTGTGAACCATTTTTGTACATACATGTAATATGCAAAAAGTACTGTTTCATGTAAGCATGAGGCATTATGACATCTTAGTATGCCACCAATTTCCAGGGTTAAGAAACACGCATTCTGTAACATCTAGCTGTAGTACCCAGAGAGCTTGTATCACTGGTCCATGTTCTAGCTCTTCTGTCTGAAAAAAAGTTTCATCCTGTCTCCTGAAACTGTTATACCAATGAATTGCTTGATATAACAGATACCTCCTAGGTAGATTAGATGTGTAAATAGTCACAAAGCTAAACTAATAATGTTGCTCCTTCTTTTTTATCTTGTAGACTCTTCTGATGCAGACAGACTGGAAAGATTTTTTGATTCAGAGGATGAAGATTTTGAAATCTTATCTCTTTAAAAACAAACAAGAAGCTAACTCTGCCAATTTGTGTTGTAGGGGGAGGGGAGCTCCTTGGAGAGCCTTAGGGCGACCAGCTTTCATAGGTGCTTGTTGACATCCCTGCCTCCCATCCACCCCAGCATTCTGTGCAGCCTTCGAGCAGAGTGGATTTCTGCAGTGGGATCAAGAAACGGGTCCATTATTAAGGCCTTAATAGTTTTAGTCAGGCTTTTTCAGCGCAAGAGTACCTGCAGGAAAGGGATGCCGTGATGGCTAGGAGCTGAAGATTCTTTTTCTGTTAGCAGGCCCAACAACAATATTGAAAGCCCTTCTAGGTGCTTGGTTCTTACAAGGTCTATTATTTGGGAGAACCTAATCCAGTTTGCTTCTCCCTCCACCTCCATTTTTGTAGTGTGAAGTGAAAACTAGAATAAAATTATACAGACACACAGCTAAAAGCCACCTCCCTAGCTCAGCAGATCAGTGGGTGTTTTTTTTTTTTTTTGTCACCAGAGGGTACAATCTCTCAGATGATGGAATACCACAGAAGTCACTACATGTGCTTTTGTTTTTCTCCAATACAGTGCTTCTATAAAGATAGATTATTCCTTTTGAGTTCTAAAATTTTCCTTTGTCAGAAACACACACCTGTAGTCTGTGATGCCGTTCAAGAAGTAGCAGAAGCACATCATGTACAGCAAATGTTACAAGACAACATGATCTGGAGATGGCAACTGAGAAGTTTTGAATTAGAGGACATTGAGTGGCACTCGTTGAAAATATCAAAAGCACTTGCAGAAGAATGAATTGAAAGGTTAATCAAGACACAGCTTTATTGAACATAGCTTAAAGCTCATGTAGTTTTTTTTAAATTTGTATTAAAAATATTGTGGCTGCTATTTAAGGTAGTAGAGATGGAATCATCCATGAGCTCACTAGAACTGAAAGTACCTCCAATTCCCCCATTTGATTCAATTTCCTTATTTTTAGAGTCTGACTGACATCTGGAGATTGCACCCTGACATGAGATTTTGTTTAACACCAGAACAGTTTTAAAATCTTGGCTTGGGTAGTGTCAGAGCCACACCCCCAGGCACCCTACCTCTCCCCTGTTGAAACACTACACAAGGCTAAATTTATGTTCTGTGGTGGTATTTAATTATTCCAGCATGTTATTCTTAATCAAAGATTCTAAAGGAACAATTGACACAATTTGGCTGCTTGGAAAAGTTAATTTACTGGTTTGCCTCCATTGGAAAACATGGCTGTTGTACTTGAGAGAGCTCCTTTGTTCGATAAGGGAATGGCTGGAGAGGGTCCACCAGTCCTAGAAGTGTTATCTTTTTGTAATTCTTCAGCTCCATTGATGGATGCTGCTGGTGGCAAATATGTTTACAAAGCATTCTTTCCTGTATTATCACTTATCAGCAGCACTTGGCCTAAAGGTGGTAGTATGAACTTCTAGAGCTGCACACAGCAGTAACTGACCTACTGATAGTACATGGTAGGTCCAGGTTGTCCCTTAAGCTGCCAGAAAGCAGAGGTCCGAACCACAATGCTTATCTGTCATTGTTATAACTTGCTATCTTTCTCTTGCTGTTTCTCCTCTTGATCATAGACTTTGAAGACAGAGGAGATAAGAGAAAGTGGGGCTGTGCTCCATTCATCAACTGCTTTGATTTGTATTATCTGAATAAAATTATGAGGGAAAAAACCCTGTGTGTATCTGATATGTACACTTGCGCTACCAAATGTCAGACTAGCTAAAGTCAGTTGTGGCTCACCGGTAACTCACTTTTCAAGCAAATTTGTTCACTTACTTAAAGTATAGATGCACACCTGATTTGAAATGGGCAACTTACAGAAGCTCTGGGCCTGTGGCTGTTCTGGTACCTCATAGGGCTACAGCCCCTCCTTGATGAAATCTCTATGATTTGTATGTGTTCTATCTCCCTTCTGCAATCTGATTTTTTAAAATGTACATAAACACATACTTTCTATATTTTTTCTCCCAAAATATCTCTTGATATTCATATATCCCTGCGCAGCTGGAGTTAACAAGAGTCCTGTCCCTGGGGCCAGCCATCCACTCACACATCCGCCAGCAGCAGCGGCCCCACTCATCCTTCCAATTGCTTCCAAGTGCCGTTCTCTTCCTGGTCAGCTAGCCACTCCTGGCAGAGGGAGGCAGAAAGGGTCTCCTTGCAAGGCTGCCGAGTTGCTAGTTGAGCAGGGATCTGGAGTGAATGGAAGGAAGAGGTGTAGCCCCAGCTGGACTCGTGAATGGACAGTCCAGCGCCAGGGGCCGGACCCTTGTTAACACCAGCTGTGGGGGATATATTTGAATACGAATACCCCCACCTCTACTCTAGATGTATTTTCTCAGTGCAACATGGCTGCAGAGCTCCTGGATGCAAAAAATGTCTTGTATTTTGCATTTTAAAACTGAATCTGATACTTTCCCCCCAAAACTTGGGAGAAATGTAAATGTCTCATATCTAGCCCATGCACAGGTCCAGGAGGTGCAAAACAGGTTGGTTTGTGTTAAAATGTGGATAGAATATAATCTTAAACCAACCCTAACATATACAATCACAGTATGGAACCAGGCAAAACATCTGTCCTTACTACAATAGGTTATTAACTATCCTATCGCCAGAATCTTATATAACACCACATGATATAGCTCAAGCAGCATAAATCACAATGTTAAATTGCCATTAGTTAAGAAGTGAGCACTCATTGTGTATCAAGTTATGTGCCTGGTGTGCCATGAGAAATACAAAATAAAGTGTGCTACTTCTATACCACCCCATAGTGCTTAAAAGCGCTCTCTGGGCCATTTAAAATTTAATTACTCAGGCTACACACTGCCCCTGCCCCAGCACGTTGGGTACCAATTTACCAACCTCAGAAGGCTGGGAGGTTGATTCAACCTCGAGTGGGCTGCCTGATCCAGGAGCAAACTCTGCTCGTGAGCAGAGTCTTCACTGCAGTACTGCAGTTTAACCACTCTGCCACAAGGCTACAAGCTTTGACTTAACTAGTGGCAGTTTGCTGCAGCAATTTATGCTGGTGGGCAAAGGGAATAGGATTCTGGATGTTATTTAATCATGTACAACAGCTTTTAAGTTATTGGCTGGAAAGATGCCGCAATCTTGAATATCGTTGAAATAAGTAACCTCTGTAAATTAAGAAATCTGTCAGCATTATCCGTTGCATACCGTCATGCAACAGGTGGCTACAATTTATGGTAATTTGTTTCTAAAAGTTACACTGTTTGCATAACTGCAGAATTACGAGTGTATTAATTTTTTTAGTCATTTGTATGGTATTTGTGCCAATGGTTTTGTTAATGGCCAAGGTTAATACTAAAATCAGTGGCAATACTTTCTGCATCTAAATTCACCTCAAATTTATTTATTTATTTATTTATATCCCGCCTATTTGGTCAAATGACCACTCTAGGTGGCTACCAACATAAATAACTACCGTATATAAAAAATATAACAAAGTTTAAACATCAATAAAGAAGTTATTCAAGATAAAAGGGAAAAAAGAAATATAAAAAAGGAAAAAGGGAAAAAAATCATGCATTAGCTGGAGGTTTTCTCAACATATTATCCTAAACCATGTACAGTACATTGTAAACATAACTGAATCTGTAGGATTACATGCATCTGAGGAGGCGGGCAGTGATCCACCAAAGCACATGATTCATTAAGTCTTGTTAGATGTAAAGGTACTACATACCTCTACTGCTTTTAAAGAAGGAACAATATATGTTTATGTTCATATGCCAAGATCCAAAATGTTTTCAAAATGGTAAACATTATAAAAACTGCTCATAGTGGTGTTCTGCTGACCATATAAGTTGGCTTATACTGAATCTACCCATTGGGCCGTCTGTCTCAGTAGCATACACAGGGCCAGCAGCTTACAAAACTCTCAAGTACAGGTTGCCCCAAGGACCCTGGCCAAGATCCTACATAGATGAGACAATTATTCCAGACTGGATAATGTAGAATTTTAGTCATAACACTTCATATACTGCTTTGGACCAGATGCTTAACAAAAATATGTTATGGGCTTTCATCAGATCCTACTAGATACCATTTATTAGGTGCAAAATGTGTGGGTGCAACATTGCATCTATGTTATGGGAATAACGTTATCACCATGTTAAATTGTGTAACTGAAATCAGTGGAAAACTGCCTAGGAAATACAACACAGTCTTTATTTTAAAATACCTGTACAGTATAGGAATTTTTTTACAGCTGAGATGATTAAAGGAAAAGTAAGTACCATGAGAAGCTTAAATCAGGATCTTTAAAGAATATTAGACTTGGAACTATAGTTTTAGAAGAGGTAGCTGTTTTAGTCTGTGCTACTATATTGGGTCAAAAAGAAATGAACAATAAAGAAAACAAAGATGTTGCACCTTAAAGACTAACTGCTATACTGTATTTTAATGTGAACTTTCATGGATAAATGGCTGACTGGATAGCTCAGTGGTTTAGGTATCTAGTTGCAAAGCCAGAGGTTGGACATTTGATTCCCCAGCTGTGCCTCTGAGCAGAGCCAACCTGTGTGGCCTTGGGCAGGTTCCACAGTCCCAGGAGGCCCCCGGAATGACTGTTAAGCCACTGAATACTCTTTGCCTGGAAAACCCTAAGATATCAGAATTGACTAGACAGCACATGATTATTTTTATTTGTGGACAGGCCCACTTCCTTAGCACCTTAAAGACTGCTATATTTTAATGTGAGCTTCCATGGACAGGATTCAGAAAAGTGTATGAGTACACAGCTCCACCAAAATGGCAGTATTGTTAAATCAGGATCTCAAGTCCCTCCTTTTAAAAAAAACACCTTTTTTCATCCAATTTAAGTCCATTGGACATTTAATGTCAAACAGGACTTCTGGTTTTGAATGAAAAGAGATCCCATAGATTTACATGTGTGTGTGTGTGGGGGGAGGATTTCTAGCAGTCTTGGGGACACAAGGGGTTGGGGGTGTAGCCTTCTGAAATCTTGTTTATGTAGAATGAAGCCCTTGAGTCTTTGGAGGTCATCCATTCCTTTGCTAAATATAGAAAATACCATAAATTGGGGAACTACCTTGGCATAAGTCAAGAAGCAATTGACTCACCGCCAAAGATACAAATAAATTATTTATTCAAAATATGTCACAAGTAAAAATATCAGAAAAGGGGCTAGAGCACAAGGGTAATGTGATACCCACCAGATGTTTCGGATTACATACCTCAGAAGCCCCAGCCAACACAGACAATCTACTGAGTTATAATAAAAAAAAAATTGATGAGTATCAAATCACTTGTCCACTATATCACCACACCCTACCTAAAATCAAATGGAAAAAAACACAGGGAATGTGTAGTTAAGCATATTCTTGGCATCTGCTTTCTATTTAGAATATGATGGGAAGATCCACACCTAAAGAACATTTTTCGTAATGCTTTAAAGAACTTTCAGCTGACATTTTAGAACTAAACAGAAATAAAAAAAATAATCACAAGCTGTAAGGCATTCACCTAAGAACTCATACACATTTAGTTTGGAAATAATATACCTTAGTGCTTTTCTGTATTGCATATCTTCTAGTAATATTATCTTGGGTAAAAAGGATGGGGGGGGTCATTTATAAAAATTCACTCAGATGTTTAAGCTCAGGCATGAACAACCTTGTTTTGGCCACCCATGCACACTTTACAAAAGCCAGTAAGTATTAATTGACTGTTTTCCATTTCACCCAGTACTGGAAACAATGGTTTAATAGATATTATTAATCACAATAAAACATTAAGACATCTTAAAGAATAGCTTAATAGCTTGGCTTATTCTGAAGCAATCAACTACGGTTCTCCAGTTGGGAGGGAGGGAGGAAACAAGCTGATAGAAGATTTGCCACTTTGTTTGCGCACACACCCATGTAGCCAAAAGGCTTGTGCATATATGTCCGTTCAACCAAGATACATTCCTCCAAATGCATACATTGGCTAAAATCTTGTTGGTATAAATCTGCACCTCACAAGCCAGATGACTTCTGGTGATGGACATCTTTGTTTTATCAAACTATTTGCCTACACCTAAGTACCCAAGGTTACCTAGAGGGTCCCTCTTGGGAAGCCTTGGGGCAGGACAGCATTTGATATCAGAAAACTAGTACTACCAATCTTCCAATATTAAAGGCTCCCACCCCTTTATCCCAAGGTGCCCAGTGGGCAAAAGGGATCTTTAGGGAGTCTCCAAAGTTAAAAGGGAGAGGATAAGTTTTTAATTTAATAACGTTAAAAGATATATGTTGCCAGATGATGACATCATCCATCTTGTGCAGCAAAAATTTATGCCAACAAGATTTCAACCACTGTATGGCTGAATATATTTGTATGGAAACACATGTATTGCCTTGGATATATTTTTTTAAAATGTTGGCATAACACAAATGATGTAACTTTTGGCATTCTAAGCAACTTATTGAGTGGTCTTTGAGATATTTCACTCTGGACTCCTCTGAGTACAGAAGCTCTGTGAGGAGAATTATGATCTTATAGTGACTATATTTCTCAGATACCACACCAGGAGGTGGTTTAAAGTAATTCTAGAAATCTATGGCTGGAATGCGAATGAAAATTATCAAATCCTGAGCTGCTGTGTGTTCAGCAATGCAGAGAGGAGGGGATGCGCTAGACAGGCTATTTTCATGATTGGTGTGGCATTAATGATGACAGCCGCACACGCTCCTGGCTAGGAGTTGAGTCCAAAGGACACAGCCACCGGTGGTGGTGATATTCATATTTGTCTCCCAAATACTCAATCTCTAATACCAAGTCATACAATTCAGTGCAGAACAAATAATGTCCACATTGACTTTGTAAGCTGCAGTAATTTGCTGCCAAAATGTTGTGCCAGCAATAGGATTTTGGCTAAGAAAAAAATGCAGTTTCCCTTGATGAAGAATGACCCAAGGAGATCAGATGATCCAGTCCTATTTCCATAATTCTCCTATTGGTCTGTGTTGAGCTTCTTGCATTGCCTCCTCTGCAAATGATTTAATTTCTTTGTGTAAATCTTCTATGCTTTTTGAAGCATCTATCACCTGTGCCCAACAAAACAAAACAAAAGGTTAACTCTTCATTCATAAGAAACTTTAAAAAGTTTCACAAAAAATATTACAGTAATACCAAAAAGGGTATTACAGCTTGAAGTTTATATTTATTTATTCTTCATTAAATGTCAACGGTGTAGACAGTTTAAACCACTTACATGCACAAAAGTTAATGCAGACCAGCACTTCATTCAAGAACAGTGGACAAACTTGTGTTGCTGTAGTTAGGCTGGCATAAATTATTTGCAGTGCCCAAACCCAGTTTATTAGACAATCTGAAAGTATCCTATCTTCTTTCAGGTTTCAAGACTCCCTAGGACTCCCTTTTGCCTCAGGGAAGCATTTGGGAGCCTCAAGAGGGGGATAAGAGCCTCTAATAGCCAAAAACCGCTGTTGGATGGCCACCACCAGTAATCTGGCAGTGATTTTCCAATATTAAAGCTTCCTCCATGACCAATTCAAGGCTTCCAAAGGCTTCCAAGGGGCAAAAGGAGAGTTCGATTAGAGTCTCAGATCCTGAAGGGAGGGGACAGGAAGCTTTTAATTTGTTTAAATTAATTATTTATGGCACCTGAATCTAGTTTATGCTGATGTAACTGCACCAACAGAATTCTGCCCAATGTAATCTAACACACATTTACTCAAATGTTAGAACCTACCATCTTTAATGGCTTACTTCTAAATAAGCATGGTTAGGATTAAAGCTTGATAAGAATTATTTAGTAATTACTATTTTCTACTGTTGCAAAAATAGCAACTAAAATGAATGCTTCAATATTAAAAATAACCTACTTGAAAATCCCATCAATTTATTCCTAAACTAATATGCTTAACTGGCTAGATATTGCAGTCAGCTAGAACACCTGGCTGTTGAACAAGGGGTTGGCAGTTAAACAATTCACTGTCTCTCCAAAGAGTAGAGTCAGTCTGTACAGCTTCAGGCAAGCTGCATGATCCCAGGGCATCACAAGGAGAACCCAGTAAATAATTTCTTAGTATTTTAGAACTAGAAACCCCACAGAACCATTGCCATAAACTGGCATTGACTTCATATCATCTAGTTTACTAAAATATATATTTAGGTTCAGGATGCAGATGGAATGTCTTGTCATATTCTATGAACACATTTACGGTACTTGGGTAAAAAAGAATGCTTCCTGGCCATATTGTGGGAAAGGAATATATGGATTATATCTATACCTATATTTTTAGGCACACAATAGTTCCTGTAGTTCTAAACGGTCATTTGTCTGTTCAGCTTGCCACAATCATAAAACAGAATGAAGAAAACACTTGTGAGATCATTTTTCAGGTTGCTTTCTAACAACTTTATTTGTACAAGAGTGCTATTCACAAATCTGTTTAGCAGGCTATTCCACCATCCTGTTGCAGGTCAAATTCACAGCTTCATTCTAATTTTTACCTCAAAAAGGTAAAAGAATTAAAAAACAGATCTGCAGATTAACTATGTACCTACATCCTGATATTATTCAAGAGCCACTTAAAGGAGGATTTATTTTAAGCTAACTCTAGTTATTCATGGGGTCACCATATGTTAGCAAAAATTATAAATATTTTTAAAATATATTTTATTATGAATGTGTGGGTTTTTTCCTGAACTTCTGAAACAAGTTGTCAAAATATATGAAGACAATGAATAATACTATAGTTATATCTGCTGTCCCCAACAAGAAGGTGATATCAGCAGAAAGCAATGTAGTATTGTGGTAGCTATAAGAAGCTAATGCAGTCTTTTCTTAAGAAGCTAACAGGGCTAAAAGTTCTCTGAAAGCAGAAGAACAAAAACACTGAGCATAGCTGCTATTGCAACTGTTTACTTATCCTGTTTTCCGGCACTAACTCATTAACTATTGGATCTCCCTTTGTTTCCATCATCTGTGCCTGAAAACACTGTACTCACAGACTTGACCACCAGAGAAGTGAGCACACAGAAAGTCACATGTACCACAGCAGAAGTTGGAACTTTGTGTGCAAAGTAGGGGAAAGACCTGAATCCAAACTACATACAGCTACATGCTAAATGTGAGCAGAGAGCACAGAACACCCATTATATGTATGGCTTCCTTTTCTGGAGTTTAATTTCAAACAAAGTTTATTACCCATTTCCCCACTCAATCAACTGTCAAGTCTGACATGTTATGTTTCAAAATGTATTGAAATGGTGAAGTATATTTGCCACATTTGACTTACATTTCACCATCTTGTCCTTGTGACAACTCAGAAAAGAACAAATCAAAAATTTGATTCCCCCAATAATCCAATGAGGTTGTAAATATTCAGATTCCCTACAGGTTTTCCTTTGATTGATTTGTGGTTTATAAATCACATTTATAAATGTTTGTTTTCTTACCTTCCAGTTTAAGCTCTTATCTTTCATCAGACTATAAAAGCACTGAAGAACTTGCTCTTGAAAACAACTATTCTCATATCTTTCATTTCCAAAGTCTCCTCGTTTGGCCGCTTCAGACGTGTTCAGGTGAAGGAAAAGGACCAAGTCTGGCTTTGGAAGCCCCACATCAGGCTGCTTGCACCATTCCAAAGAGAAGTTCTGTTTGAAGAGGAAAGAGAAGTGGTGAACAGGTAAATTATACAATCAACAATTTGTCAGGAACACAGGAAATCACATCTAAGGATGTGTGAACCCGAGTACTGTCTACATTGATTCATATCGGCTTTCAGATCTTTCTTTTTCAGATCCACACAGAGATGCCAAGGAATGAACCTGGGGCCTTTTGCATGAAAACCACATTCTGTATCAGACTAGAGCCCTTCCCTAGAGATCAAAGAACTGAAGATCAGAACACCAGCTACTTATAACCTGTTTAAATGTAATATAAAAGAGCTGACCAAGGCTTCAGTAATGAACTGGCCCAGATTTGCAACTAGTATATCAGAGAACCTCTGATCTTCCAGGTATTGTTGAACTCCAACTCCTATTGGCCCCAACCAACCTTCCCAATGATAAGGCATGACAGCCAGCTGAAGTTTGGCAACACCTAGATGGCCAATGATTCCATCCTTGCACTATATCATGGTATCTTTTGACTTCAGACAAATACAGGAAACTCACATTGGTTAAGAGTCAAAGACAATTGTTTTTATGTAACTATTATGTTAGATTAACCTTGGAGATGGCTATGTCATCCTTAAAGCTTCCTGCACTAGTACAAATAGTTCAGGAATGACCTGTCCAATGCTATCAATTACCACAGTAAACACAGGAAGTTTCAGCTTACATTATTGTTTGGCCTCACATTACTTTCATAAATACTATGCTCTTACGAGACTAATGAACCTTTTTTACTCACCTCTTTAGCACCTGTGAAGGCTACCCCAGAAAAGGCATATCTGTCTACTACCAGAGTGACACCCTGGTTTAACTTCTCTTTAATGAATGGCCTGAATAGCAGAAAGCGAAGATATGCCACTATTAGATGAAAGCTGAAATGTGAAGTATATAGAACAAAGCAAAGATACTAGGTAAAGATTTTCCACCTTTTCTGCAGAAAATGTTCATGGAAAGAAATTGTTTCATCAAAGTAGTAATATAATAAATGGATTATTGTATTTTTCCATGTATAAGATGGCCCATGTATAAGACACCCCCCACTTTTCTAACCCCAAATTAAGAAATCTAAGCGGGGCTTAGCAAGTGGAGGGAGAAAGCAGGGATCAAAGCATTTTGATCCCTATTTTCCCCCTCCACTTTCTTGCCAAGAAAGTGGAGGGAGGAAACAGGAATCGTCAAAGCACTTTGATCCCCGCCTTCCCCCTTCACTTTCTAGGGAGGAAAGTGGAGGGGAAAAGCACTTTCCTTGCAAGAAAGGAGGGGGAAACCAGGAATCAAAGCGCTTTAATGATTCCTACTTTCCCCCTCCACTTTCTTGCAAAGAAATAGTATATACAAGTTATAAAGTTGTACTTTGTATATTAAACCTAAATGTTTAGGTAAACAGGATAAACTGTTGTTTATCTATTTCATTAAAGCGCTAGAAATTCTTTATCAATGTAAATAACTAGATATAAACTAAAAACTGTTATTTACAGCAAAGAATATTAACTTGACAGAACAATGTTTTAATCCCCCTCTTTGTTTTGAGATATGACTAAACCATCTCCTCAGAATCTGCAATTCTCCCATCCCCAAAAGGGAGCATTAAAGGGGTGTTAATGAGGCCCAAGACTCATCTGGATGCTCTATTTAACAAGTAATCTGTTTACACTTGCTCCCAGCGATTAGCAGAAAACAAGAGATGCACTGTGTGATCCTCCAAGTTATTTTTCTTTTCCAGGTAGGAACTTATCAGTCGTCCAATTTCTGTTGTTCTTTCTGCAACAAAAAGCAGATACAACCATAATGAAACAAAACATCTAGAATGATCGTTTTTATGTTCTGTAAATTCTGTTCAAAATGTATACTATATTGGAAAACAGTTAAAATGCAGGATATACAATAAGAGAAAACCATTAAAGATAGAAATCTATCTTTAGAGATAAATTGGAAATATGAACATCTACAAGATGATCATATGCACATATATGGTACTATATTTACAGCATAGATACATAAGTGTTGCCAACTCTTCCATTACTTGTAAACAGCACTGTGACCCTCAGTTCATAACAAGGATAGTTTAATGCTACTTGTTTCTCTTCTTTCTCCATTATCTTTTCCAAGGACACACCAGGTCCATGGTTGAAAAAAGAAAAGAAAACTAAACTAAAAGCAATGCACACAATCGGAAATAACCCACTAGCAAATGCTCTAGTGACAAAGAGTGAATGCAAAAATACTTCACGAAGAACACAGATTTTACTCTTCTAAGAGTCCAAAATGCTAAGCCTAACAAAAACTCTAGGCTACCAGACATGGAGATACATCATCCACGAATAACAGGACAGATGGTTCCAACCAAGTCTATTTATATGAAGATACAACACCCCACCACCAACACTGCAAAAACCACCAGAGGCTCTCTAGGCCAGGGTATATCTTTGCGCTTCTCTGCTACCGTCAAAAGCTGAAGGACGACAATCTCAACCGATGACTATTATTACACTACAACAGGAGCTGCTGCTAAACCCGATGAATTTGAATCTCAACCGATGACTATTATTACACAGGAGCTGCTGCTAAACCCGATGAATTTCAGCCTGCTACGCGGTTACTAAAGGTACGGACACCCTCCAAGGGAGAGGTCGAGAAGCTTTCAGGAAAAGCAACTCTTAAGGCAAAGGGGTCCTTGCGGTTTTGCCCGCGTCCACGTACCGGGAAACCTGAGCAGTTCAGCCCGGTGGCCCTTTCCCTGCAGGGCCTCCACCAATTTCCGGCTCTGGGTGCTTTTACCAGCGCGGTCCACCCCTTCCAGCACAATAAGCGCACCTCGCCGGCCGGCCATACCTCGCTCTCCGCGCCACTACCAAGCAAGGAAGGGGGGGGGAAAAAGAGGACACTTCGAACTACAGGTTCCCGCGCTCAGCGCGGTCATAAAGAGCAGCCCTTCCGCCGTGTAGAGCGGCTCCGGGGTGACCATGGTTACCAGACCAAAAAGAAAGAAAGCAGTCCCGAGAATGTGTTATCCTTAGCCACGCGTGCTTTCTGAAGGGGGCTGGAATAGCTATGCTGTTTTCGTGGAGTTCCGGAAAGACGCCTAACAAAAGATAAGCCATTTGGCGCTGAATAGTGTTGAGAAAGGCTCTCCCAGAGAGGCTGCAGGAACCGGAAGAAGCGGATAGAAAGCGGAGGACACAGACACGTGACAGCACAGTGGTTCGTTTTTAGGTTGATAATAGCGTCTTCGGCCTCTCTAGGCGTTTGTCAGTCGCGCTGGTATTAACCCTTAGCTATGTTCCATCTGGGATAAGAATCCGAACTCTACCTTAATTTACTGCGACTGACTGCCTAGTAAGCGCAGCACTAGAAAATGTATGTTGTTACGTGCCATCCAGTCGGAACCGACTTATAGCGACCCTAATAGGGATTTCAAGGTAAGTGAGAGATTTAAGGAGTGGTTTTACTGGTTCCACTTCCCCGCCCCCCTGCGTTTCCTTGGCCGGGCGGTGATTCGAATTCAGCTCTCAAGTCCTAGTTCATCACTCTATCCACCACACACCACTGCATAGTCATGAGCGTTCGGAATATAAAAGGCTCCGCTTTAAAAAATAAAAAGATCATTGCGGTTTCCTTGCGCGTGAACGGAGGTTTCTGAAAGCCGAGACTCCCCCCCCCCTTTCATAAATCTGTGGCGGCGGACAGACAGTAGCAGGCAATCTTATCGGAATCAATGTATCCGCGAAGGCTTATCGGAATCATCCCACACAAAAGCCTTGAGCCACCTTCGAAGCTGATGCGTCTATTTCAGTCTGAATTTAAGTGGATAACAGCAAACCGGTTTCCTGTCATGTTTCTCCAATCTAGTAGGTTGAGTTGCCTCGGGGGCAGGAGCTGAACGTAGAATGAGATGGGTGGGAAAAAAACAAAACGAAGTCAAATAATCAGATTTATTTCATAATGAGCTTCCCTGGACTACAAATCAGCAGGAAACAGGGGCCATTGGAGAACACGTAATTAAACGAATGGCGCGAAAGAAGGAACCTACACACTTCTTTTTCTCCCTGACAGAAAAGCATGGGGGTGTGTTGGGGGAGAAGAAGGATTGCAGTGGCAGGAGAGCAAGCAACCCCTTCACTTCCGCTCTATGACTCTCTATTTAAAACATACACCATGCCTTCCTTAAGACACCCATGTGCTCGGTAGCTTCTATTTCACCCCAAGAGCGCGCGATTCACACACTCGTCTTTCCTGGGATTTCCTTCCAAGTAGCCATAGACACAAATAGTGTTGCACGAGCATTGTTAGAAACAACGGTGTCGTTCGGGGAGGGAGCGCGGGGGGGGAGTCCCAGTGCCTAAGAGCCGCCTTGGGAAGCGCCTCCCAGCCACAGACCCGCGCCTTGAAAGTCCCGCTCAATAAGCGACGGGGGCCGACCGCCCTTCCTTTATATAGGCACCCCTGCGGCGGCTCCTTGACCAATCGTTGGCGGCAGCTCATGACTATGCAGTGAGGGCTTGACCGGCCATTGCGAAGGCGCCTGGGTGACAGCGCGGGGCCGGAGGGTGGGCGTTGGCGCGCTCGTTTACTGCCTGTCGCGAGATGGCGGCGGCGGCCTTGTACCTGGAACACTACCTTGATA